GAATCAATTACTAACTACTCGTTGGCCCATTCTATTATCGCCGGAACGAAATCTGAAACTCTCATGATGCCGACTATTATCCAATCACTCAGTCCCTAATTCACGTTTAGTTTGTCTTGTTCACCAGCCCATACTGACTTCTATTATTCTGGGGTCTAACTTTTCCTTCTGGTAGTTGCGTTGGAGTCACGAACTTATTTCTCGAAGTGAGGATATGACTTTATGGCCTATACTCTTTTGTTGTCTCAAGGCCTGTCACTTCTCGTCTTTTCCTTCTTTTGACCTACTGTTGTCATTCATGTATCACATCTTACTCTTAATGCTTCATTAGCTCTCTTCCTATTTCCTGCTAATATTTCTGTCTATCACTTTATCTGAAAACTTCAACACGATATTCTTTTGCTTTTAGCTCCCTTTTGCTCCATCCACTGGCTCTTCGGGTTGTCTAGCATTATCTCTCTACTAAGGACGGGAGCCATACTAAGATAATATTTATCCCTTCCAGACTTCCAGTGCACATCTTTGTGGTACTCATATCTAGCTGTACTATTTTAGAGTGCACCATCTGGGTGTCTCACAAGGAGATCTATTAGCACATTTGTAATATCCTTCAGAAAGGTAAACTAACGCAAACAATTCATCCACCCTTTTGGGTCACTCTAACTCCGGCCGGATCCTGATATCCCGTCCTTCTCTTGAACCATATCTGTTAGCTCCCATAGGGTAAGATCAACACAGCCAATTGTACATACCTCTGTTACTGTTGAATGTAACTCAAAAAGCTTATATTCCTCTGCCTGAATTGTAAATGTTGTTAACCTTCATTAACTGGGCGCCTCGTACCCTTCTTCATCTCGCTTCTTTTGCTTGTTGACACTTGTATTTATCTTCTGAATCTCCCATTGTCTTTCACCATAAAGGTGGATAGGTATTCTTGCCTCAAGGCTCTTTATCAAGAGGCTTACACATCACAGTACACACATGATCTACTGAAAACCTTATATTTACTTATCATAAGCATCATGAAAAATCAAGTACCTCTAACTCAACTCTTCCATAGTCACATTTAATCTCTTACCAACTGTCTTTCTGGATATAGGTATCGTCTTATTACGTATAAAATAGAAGTTAGAAATTTGAATTCTTATAACTGAGCTACACGATCTAGAGTAAGAAGAAAGAGTGACAGTCCTAGAAGAAAGAGTGGCAGTCCTACCACACGATCTAGGAATTTTATCTTTTAATATTTTTATCTTACAATTCACAATATATATATATATATATATATATCAAATAATATTAATTAAACAAAGAATATAATTTGCACAAGTAATTCATGCTTTGAGTTCTAAAGTACCCGGACTTTAGCATTAATAGTAGCTACGCACGGACTCTTGTCAACTCGTGCATATGTAGCCCCCACAATTAGCATTAGAATCACTTACCCCAATGTCTTTCCTTGAAAATCTATCAAAAATCCCTATGTTCAAGCTCCAATTTGTTAAAAATGACGAATGGGACGGATGCTCTCTTTTATAATTCTGCCTAGGCAGCCCTCGATCATGACCTCGATCCTCGGCCTCGATCGTGGCTTCGATCATAGCCCTCGAGCCTTTGCCTTCGATCATGACCCTCGAGCCCTACCTTCGATCATGCCCCTCGATCATGGCCTCGATCTTGGGCCTCGGTCTTAGGCCTCAATTTTGGGCTCGATCACAGCCCATAATTTCCAGCTGAAAGGAAAAATTGCACCAGCTGTTTTAAGTCTAACTTTTGATCCATTAACCATCCGAAACTCACCTGAGGCCCTCGGGACCTCAACCAAATATACCAACAAGTCCTAAAATATCATACGAACTTATTTAAAACCTCAAATCACATAAAACGACGCTAAAACCACGAATTATGCTCCAATTCAAGCTTAATGAAACTTAAGATTTCCAACTTCTTCGATGTCGAAACCTATCAAATCAAGTCCGATTGACCTCAAATTTTGCACACAAGTCATAAATGACATAACGGAGCTATAAAAATTTTCGGAACTGGATTCCGACTTCGATATCAAAAAGTCAACTCCCCGGTCAAACTTTCAAACTTAAATTCTTGTTTTAACCATTTCAATCCTAATTTAACCACAGACTTCCAAATAAAATTTCGAACACGCTTCTAAGTCTAAAATCACCATATGGAGCTGTTGGAATCGTCAAAATTCTATTCCGGGGTCGTTTTCTCAAAATGTTGACCGAAGTCAAACTTGGTCTTTTAAAGCCAACTTAAGAAACCAAGTGTTCCGATTTCAACCAAAAAACTTCCAAATCTCGAATCAACCATCCCCGCAAATCCTAAATTATTAAAAGCACATACGAAAAGTTTTATTTTAAGAAACGGAGTTCTAAAAGTCAAAATGAACGATTGAGTCATTACATTAACTCTTTGTGATCGTAAATTTACATGTTTTGATCATTCGTGAGAGTATGACTGTTTTTGTATTGTGCGTTTATATTTCCTTTAGTTTTGTTAATCGACAGGTTTTTCTTAAATTTCTTTATTTTGTTCTTTTGGGATTTTTTTTTTTTTTTTTTTTTTTTTTTTTTTTTGTATCAACGCTCTGAGAGAGAGGCTCGAGGTTAACAAATACGTGTTATGTGTATCCCCCTTTTTCTTCATGTTCTTTTTCTTACTTTTTAGTCAGTTTATGACATTTATGCTTATTAGCATGTTAGTTCTAATTTTTGTGCATTTGTAATGTAAAAGTTCATTTCCTTGGTAGAAAAAATTAAACTAAATATAGGGATTAATGCCTATGCCTTCATTTTACTTATCTACGTCAACTTCTTTATTTTTTTTTATTTTTGTTCCATTAATGATTTTTGTATTTGTGAAGACATTCCCACGAGCATGTGTATATATATATATATATATATATATATATAGTGATGTGGCATATTCCATAGCATGAAATTCTATTTATCTTTTTTCATTTTTTTTGGCTTTTCCTTTTTATTTTTTTCATTTATTTTATTTAAAAGGTCAGTACGGATCACACCTCTTCGGAAAGCGTTATGTTTTTTCAAGTCCATAACCCCTACTTCGTGTATTCTTTCTTTATTTCTATATATGCATGGTTTTGCCTGTTTATATGTTATGATTCCTTTGTGAGCTTGGAGATTAGACACAAATAAGATGAAGTTTATCAAAGATAAGATTATCGTTTATTCACATCAGATTGACTCCAAGGTCAATGAGTTTTATATAAAAGTCACAATTATATATTGTACTAATTAGTGTGTCTTTTCATATACTTGTCCCTGAATGAATGAATGAATGTTGATTTGGGGATTATGGCTTTTTAATTTCCATTGTTCGTCATCAGTTGTTAATACCGTCCCAACCTTTTCACCCTCTAATTTTTTCTTTACTTCTATTCTCTCTAGCTAATACTTTTCTGATTGTGAGGCTGCTTTATCTCTTCCTCTCCCGTCCATGGACATGTATAGTTCATGTTTTTATTTTGTTTTTCTGTTTAGGCGAGAAAGAAATGCCGTTGAAGCATTTTCTATGTCCTTGCATGTTTTTTTTGTGATTATGACAATTTTTGCAGTTATGTTTCGTCCTTTTTTTTTTTTTTTCTGAGAGTCTCTTTGCTTCTGAAATTCTATGTACTTCATCTATTCTTTTCTTAATTGAGTTCCTTTTTTCAAGCTTTTTTTAACTCTTTCTTTTCAACCTGAAGCTAACTTTTTGCAAATTTACCGGAGAATTGGGAGAAGAAAATTGAAGGACATATGCAGGCATGAAAATGGAAGTAAAGTATATAATTTTTTGGAGTAATTGTAGGAGGGAGAGAGTAAAGGGGATGAAACGATAGCTAAAGTAAGAGGAGAGAGGAACAACAAGAGGAAAAAAAATACTTAGGAAACTGATGTGAAGTAAAAGATTGTTCGTAATAGGAGATTATTTGGATATCAGAGGATGGGAAATTGACAGACGGATTAAGGGAAAAAAGAAATAAGAGAAGTAAAGAAAGAAAAAACTGAAAAAGTAAACAAAATACGTACACAAAAATATTATTTTATGGGCAGAACAGAGACCTGTGTTGCCACTTTTTTCCCTTTGTATTTTGTTCCTTTGACTTTTATTATTTCATGTTTTTTTAATTTGAATAGATGAAAATTTTAGAAAAATAATATTCTTATACTATTTAATGAAATAAATAAATCAAATACTTCTATTAAACATATACTCAACTACAAGATTTATGTATTAAAATCACATATGCACATTATATCAAAAAATAAAAATCTTCAAATATTTTTTCCATTTTCAAATGTAAGATATTTTTATCAATATTTAACATAGAGATTTCACATACACACTAATAATAATGTTAGTTTACAGTTGCAACTTCATAAATATTTAAATTAATATTTTTATGCTTTTATCTCAGAATTTCTAAATTGAGTAATGATTAACTAGTTAAAATAAAAAAAGGAAACCCAATACTGTATATGCAACCGCTGTACTTTATCTCTTTGTTTATTCTTAAAAGAAATGTCCTTAAAAATACTTAAAAGTGAAGTACAGTCGAAAGCTAAAACAACAGCACTTGATGGGTCTTCCCAGATCTCAACGCGAATCCAGCGACTGTCAATTACCAATGTCATGCCATCAGTGCTTTTCGCACATTTGCACTAATCGCAGTAATTTCCCAAAATAGGCGGGTCTTTTTTTTTTTTGGGTACAATAGGCGGGACATTTCGAAACTTCTACGACTTCCCCCCCCCCCTAAATTTATCTCACCCACAGTT